GTAAAATATAATATAAAACATATGGGAATAAAGAACTTTTAAATTTTATATTTATTAATTTAAAAAAAAATTTTGTGGTGCAGGGGATCAGAACCCAGGACCTTTTCATGCTACGCAAGTATTCTACCACTAGTCCCCGCATTAATAATTTTTTACATTGCTTGTTCCAAAAAGAACTTGAGGTAGTAAATGGGAACTTAAAGTAGAGGAGACAAGTTTAAAGGTATATTTCCTTTACCACAGAGCTAAAGGGTGGTTTGGTCAACCCATTATAGGTAAGTAAGGAGACACCTAGCGAGATCACATAATAGTAGGAGAAATATTTGAGTAATTACGTGACTTATTTGAGATCACTTGGTTATTTATTAGCTAAACTAGAATAAGAAACCAAAATACCAAATTCTGGCATGTATGAACATTTGGCTTAATAGGCCAGGTATTTTTGCTACACAGGTTTGAGACAGATTAGTTAAGATTATTACTGATCTGTTTGCAAAGTTGTAGCCTTTATTAGGAATCATACTTCACCATACTAAGTTGACCTGCAGGAATAATGTTTTCCCAGTTAGCAGAGCATTTTGTGAATTAACCCTTTGTTAATTGTTTGTTCTACTCTATTTTTATTTGGAAAATATGGGTGCTATAGAAACTTTCTGTTTTGAGGATGTGAGGAGAGAGGTGGAAAATGTATTTCCTGTCATCTCCTGATTGATGGCTTTGAAACTGGAAGCTTTGCCTGGTTTTCCTAGGCAGGCTTTGCCACTTGTTCAGAAATTAGGAGACATATTTCTTGTATATCTTTAGAAGCTTTTTTTGTGTGTGTGTGGGGTGGGGGGGAAGGGGGTGCTGGGGATTGAACCCAGGGCCTTGTGCATGCAAGGACTTTAGAAGCTCTTGATGTGATATTTCAGTGATAGAACACTGAATTGGCAAGATCAAGAACAGAATATGATAATCCTTCAATAAATGGGTAGGTCAAGCAAACATAATTCTTAGTATACATTCACTTCGTATACAGAGCCTTTCCCAGGCACACTGGACTTTTCTTTCTAGCCTCATTTCCTTTGCTGAAGCTACTCCAGCCTGTTCAGTAAACCATGTACTCAAACACATCTGACTTAACCCTTGCCATTTTTTTCTGATAGGAGGTAGTCCTGTGTTGAGACCATAAGAAAAGCATAATAGAAGGTTGATAAAGCAACTGCGAAGAATGAATTAGAATAAGGAAGATTGTGGAGACAAGAATACTAATTTTGGAGATAGTGAAGTTTCCATGGATCTGAGTTGTCCAATATAATAGTTACATGTATCAGTTTGGATAAAATTGAAAATTCAGTTGATTGTTTGCACTAGCCACATGTGGCTAATGGCCATTGTGTTGGGCAATAGAGATTAAATAGAACCATTTCCATCCTAACAGAAAGTTCTATTGAACATTACTGCCAAAAATCAACTCCCTAAGTGAAAATCACATTCGTTCTTCATAGTTATACTTTATGTGTTACACCTTAAAAACTGGGCCGTTTGTCATACCTAACCCAATTCTAGGCTGGGTGTTTTCAGAGTTAGAGAGATTGTGGATACTATCACTACAAGTATAAATGCAGCTTAGAATAACAAAGTAAAACTTAGTGTCCATCACTTAAATACTTAGGAGTAGCTTCTAAATAAGTAACACTTGAGCATACTGTTATTATTCTCTTCTCTTTCCCCACCTACTCCTCTCCTTGCAAAAGAGGCACAAACTAATTAAATATAGTTCCTTTCTACTTACTTCTACTGGGGGCAGAGTATTTTCTATTTGCAAAATTGTTTTAATGATTTTGCCTGGTGTGATCATGATTGTTTTATCTTATGATAAATCTTTCCTATATATCAACCTTCCAGTATTGCTGTTATTTTTTTATTTTTTATTTTTTTGTACCAGAGATTGAACCCAGGGGCGCTTAACCACTGAGCCCCATCCCCAACCCTTCTTTTACATATTATTTAGAGACAGGGTCTTGCTAAGTTGCTTAGGGCCTCACTAAGTTGCTGAGACTGGCATTGAACTTGCAATCCTCCTACCTCAGCCTCCCCAGCCACTGGGATTACAAGTGTGCACTAACACCCTTGGCTCAGTGTTCTGGTTTTGAAAACATTTCATTTAATTGACCTAGAAGTCATTTCTAATTTTTCTTCATCTTAGTCTAGTCCATAGTCTACTCCGTATCCTCCATCCTACCCAGTCCAAGAACAAGTTCTAATAATGGTTCTTTCCCCCAAAAGATATAATAATTCTGTTCTTTTTTTCCATTTCCATTTTCACATCTTGTTTTAAGTCACTCTTTCTCTCCTGAATGATTGCAGTAGCCTGTTAATTGCCCCCTAAGTTCTCCACATAAAAGGCAAAGCCATCTTTTACAAGCAAAATCACATCATACCAATTTCTTGTTTAGGACTTCTCTTGCTGTTGTCCTTAAAAAGGATTCCAACACCTCATCCTGGCCTGAAAGGCTCCTTGTGACCTGGCTCTGGACTTCTTACCTGATCTCATCACCACATGGCGCTTCCCTTTTTTCCTAAGCTTCTTTGGCCTCCTTTAGATTTTCTAAGTACACTCCATCTTTCCTGCCTCAGGGCCTTTTTCTTGCTACTTCCTCTGAACTGCTCTTGCCCAGCTCTTGCATGAATGCTTTCTTCTTAGCTTCAAAGTCTCAACTCTGAGGTTAGTTCTTGAGGAAAGATTGCTTTGTCTATTCTTTCTAAAGTAGACTCCCACTACTTCCACCCCTTACTCTATAGCATCACCCTGATCATTATCTGGAGTTCTATCATTTGTTTAGAGAACACCTTAATATTACTCTTAAAATTAAAAAATTATATTGCTACAATTTTCTTCCTCCCCAGGTATTCTGACTACCCCTACTAGAATATAAGTTCCATGAGGGCAGGAAACCGTTTTTTATTTTCTGCTCTATTCCCAGTATCTAGAACAGTGCCTGGCACTTGTAGTTTTCTCAATAAAAGTTTCATAATACTGAAAAACTAACAACTTTCCAAAGGAGATTTAAGAAGAACTCATCTCTGTCTCTTCCCTCCTTGTTCTCTGTGTCTCTGTCTCCCTGCCTGCACATGAAAGGAAGCTCCATGTGTCTTACATGTGAACATCCTTCTAGGCTGTTCATACTTAATATGAACCAGTGACTTCTAGGCTAAACCTCATCTTTTTACTTCATGAAGTTGTGATCCACAGTTTTTTTTTTGAATGGTTAGTTTCAGCTGGAAAACATAGTGAACAGTACATCTGGAAATATTCTGTCATGCTTGATCTGAGAAACTGTAGAGAACCAGCTGCTGATTTGAAAGGCTTTTATTACGATACAGATAGTCTATTGTCTACAGAAGTACTGGCTATTGCACAGTAGTGTGTGTGTTGCTTTTTCTGAGCTATTAGCTTGAGAGAAAAAACTTGTATTCAGTAATTTATGCATGACTTGTATTCTGTAAGAATGGTTTATTGTGCTGTTCTATTTAGCTGATTTACTGTGCATTTAGGAATTTTTTTTACTCCGTTTTCTTCTTCTTTGGACTCAAAAGTTAAGTGGCAAATAGGATTGAGATACTTTCCAATCTTCATTTAAAAAATTTCACAGGAGTAACCAATTTTCTTCCTCTACGGGTTTCTGCATTCAAATGTCATTTAAATTTATAACTCAGTATTTCTAGGTAGCTGTATATTGATAAAAATTGGTAAATTTCATCATTTACTATGTTAAAATTTACTTTTTATAGAGTACTTTATAATCATGACAGAATGGGAGAGAGATGATATCCAAGCCCTACACAGGAGGTGAAGAAAGTGAGGAGGTGTATCATTTGGGGTATAATGCATTCACATATATAATTTGATTAGTGTGACTTTTAATATTTTGATAATTTTTAACTTCATGTTTCTGGTGCTGAGTGTGAATATTTTAAAAAAAATTTTTACTATTACTATTTAGAAGATTTATGTAAAATGACAGATAATTTCTTAACTTTCAAGTAGGAAATAATTACACCTAACTAGCTTAGAGAACACCTTAATATTACTCTTAAAATTAAAAAACTATATTGCTACATTTTAAAAAATTTAGAAATAAACAGTGCAAATCCAAAGTTACTCAAAACTTCCTAAGCATTAATACAACTACTGTTAACATTTTATTTTCTATTCTTTCAGTGTTGTATATATATAAATTTTGTTGTTTTTGTAATGATAGTATATTCGTTTTTATATGTCTTCTTTTATTTTTTTCAAACTGTATCCAGCTTTATTAAAGATACTTTTTATAAACAATCATGGTATTTCAGGCAGGACATGGGCAGACAATCGTTAACAGTATACAACAACTTTCAAACTCCCTTCTTGAATGGACTACCAAAATCAGAAAGCCATTATAAAACCCAATGAAGTCTTCATTTGATGCTCTGAATAGGGAAAATTTAGAGTGAGGGTTGACATTTCACATTTAGCATGTTGTTTAACAACTTTTCACAAGCCGACCCTGACTTTCAGGAAATGAAAGGAAAATGGCAAAAATTATTAATCTGAAGATCCACAATCTAGAAAAGGAACTGCTGCTATTCTGAGGGACACTATTCTCAGTGACATCACTGGAAAGTCCAGATTGCCCCACACACTGGTAAAACCAATCGTTGGGAATCAGGTCCCAACAGGTCTGAGTTTAGGGGAGATAAGTCTATGCCGATGGCAGAGAGGGACAGGAGGACATACAGATGAGTTTGAGTTTTTCCATACCACAAGGCATTTGTGCCAAGGTGACTATATGTGCCAACATCCTCTTGGGAACAAAGAGGAAGTCTCTCAAAACTAGAAGGGAAAGGTGCTTTCCCCCCACAGCAATCCAGCTTTGGAGACATTCTACTAGTGACATATGCTCCCCCCCCCCCCCGCCCCAAACAAAACAACAACAATGAAGTGTTCTGTGTGCTAACAACATAGCTTAAAAAAAAAAAAGTAAAACAAAATTTTGCATTTTTATAAAACTTGATAAAAAATAGTATTTCAAACTGTACAGTCACCAGAAGTACACAGTTATCAAAACCGCACACACTTCACTTGGCATCTCCAGCACCTTCAGCTTTCTGTGCCTGGTCTGTTTTGGCATCTCCATTTTCTGCAGGGTTATTCCCATCCTTGCCAGTGTCAGCTTTTCCCTTTTCCCCTTTGAGTACCTTCTCTCCCTTCTTTGCAGGGGCCTTTTTAGGCTTGGGCTCTGGCTTTGGAGGAGCAGGTTTAGCAGACAACCTTGCAGATCTTCTCTGTGGTTCGTCTTTCACCTTGGCTTTATCTCCTTTAGCATCCCCTTCAGTCTTTCTCTTGGGCATGTTGGCGACCGCGCTGGACTTGGGATGCAGCCGCTCGTGCTTTGGTCGGGCGGGGGGGCGGGGTGGGAGGGGGTTGGGGGGGTCGTTGTCACCTCTTCTTCTTCCTATATGTCTTCTTTTAAATGAAATATGTCATTTTTCTCATAGAGCTGAGTCTTTGACCATTGCATTAATGGTCCCCATAATACTCAATCGGAAACTGTATCTTAATTTTTTAACTTTTCCTTTTTGTTGGATAAGTTATTAAAAAAGTGTTTTAGCTATTATAATTAATATCATTGTGAATACTTTTGTGAATATTGTTATTATCACATTTTTTATATTATTGCTTATAGGGTATATTCTCATAAGTGGAATTCCTAAATGTGACCTTTTTTTTGCCTTTTCTAATATACACTAGCAAATAATTTTCTAAAGAGAATATATTAGTTGATATTGCCACTCACAGGGTTTAAAACTACTTGTTCTGTTGTTGCATTCAGATTATGTATTTTACTTTTTAAGTTGACCTATAATTAAGGGACAACATATTTTAATTTCACTTTTTAAAATTACTGTGAAGGGGGCTAGGGTTGTCACTCAGTGGTAGAGCACTTGCCTAGCATGTGTGAGGCACTGGGTTTGATTCTCAGCACCACATAAAAAAATAAATAAATAAAATAAAGGTATTGTGTTCAACTTTAACTAAAAAAAAATTAGTATGAAGGTGCATATTTTTATGTTTGATTTCTAATGTCAGAGTCATTTTAAATATTTTACCTCTGTTCCAATAACTTCTATTTTTTTTCTGTATAGGCATTTTAAACTACCACACTTTAATTTATATATTTCCTGTAATCTTTTAGAGATATAGCATTTTGCCAGTTAAACATATGTATAAGTCAGACCATGGTGGTATATATCCTAGTGACCTGGGAGGCTGAGGCAGGAGGATTGCAAGTTTGAGATCAGCGTCAGCAGTATAGCAAGACCCTGTCTCAAAATAAAAAATAAAAACATGTTGGGATGAACCCAAGTACCATGTATAGTCATAAAGCTCTAATTAAAAAAACAATAAAAAATAAATATAAAAATGGCTGGGGATGTGGCTTAGTAGTAGAGTGATACTGGGTTCAGTCTCAAGCATGAGGGGATGACAAAAACATATACATATATATTCTTCTTTTTTTTTAAGTTGTAGATGAACATAATACCTTCATCTATCTATCTATCTATCTATCTATCTATCTATCTATCTATCTATCTATCTATTTATATGTGGTGCTGAGGATCAAACCCAGTGCCTTACACGTGCCAGGCAAGTGCTCTACCACACAGCCCCAGACCCTGTACATATATATTCTTTTTTTTTTTTTTTTGAGAGAGAGAGAGAGAAAGAGAGAATTTTTAAATATTTATTTTTTAGTTTTCGGCGGACACACATCTTTGTTTGTACGTGGTGCTGGGGATCGAACCTGGGCCGCATGCATGCCGCTTGAGCCACATCCTCAGCCCCATATATATTCTTGATGATGAATTTCTCTTTTATTCTCACTGTGCTCAGTGGTGTCTTCAAATTAGTTACTCTGTAGAAGGATTAATTCCATTTATGTTATCTAAGTATGTTGTGGAAGCATATTATAGGAGCAATCTTTTTTTTTTTTATCAGTTCAGAAGTTTAGGAGCAATCTTAATAATTCAAAAAACACAGAAATTGTCTTTGGATTCAGAAATTTCAATGATTGATTATGTCTTAAAGTATAAGTTTCAAATATATTTAAATAATAGTTTGTAAAAGTCTGAAAATTTGTATTTGAATTATGAATCTTTCCCTCTTGTAGGTTGGAAAAGAGACTGTTCAAACTACCGAGGATCAGATATTGAAGAGAGATATGCCACCCGCATTTATTAAGTGAGTAATTAAAATATTTTGTTGCTTGACAGAAAAATCTTGTTAGGAAAAGTAACTGATTCCAGGAATAACTTTTTTTTTTTTTTTTTTTTAAATATAAAACTTATGTTTACAATTGAAATGTCAAGTTTTGGTCTTTCAACCCTTCTTTTCCTACTATGTTGATTTTAGTCATTGGTGTCAGGCACTTTAGTCAAGTCCTAAGTAAAAGTGAAGACTGATGAAAGAGACACTTCCCCCATCCCCTAAAAAGAGTAGAACTTCTTGAAGACAAGACTATTAAACAAACTTAATAAAGCAATGCACCCCCCATGATTAGAAAAAACACTTAAAAAGAGAGTAAATTCAAATGGCCCAAAACATAAAAAGGTTATCCATCTAAGTAGCTATTGAGGAAGTGCAAATTATTTAAATCCCTGAGTTAGAAAGTCTGATAACATCAGTTATCAATAAGGTTGTGGAACAGTCAACTGGATCTCTGTTAGTTGGAAATATAAATTGGTATGGAATCTTTGGAAAACAGTTTGGTGTTAGTAAAGTACAAGACAGGCAGCTTGAAAGTGTGTTCTCTGGAGATACTCAGGCATATATGCACAATAGAATTCACATAAAAATATTTATGTCATTTGTCAAGATGACCTCACTGATCTGTCTATAGGAGAATGGATTAAAACAATCATGGTATTATCATAAATTGGAATATTAATTGTATTAACAATAAGGAATGAGAATTTTTTACTTTAAAATATCTGAAGAATTAAAATGTTTCGTTTTTAAACAGCAGTGAATGAATCTTAAAATTTTTTGAAGGACATTCTATTGTCATATATAACTAATTAGAACAAATAAAAAGTTTTAAAAAAATTTTGAAGGAGGTTAGTGATAGACAAATAGTTCATTTATTTAAAGTTCAAAAACATGCAGGAAAAAAAAAACTGCGGTTAGGGATGCCTATTTATATGGTCAAAAGACAAAGGTGAGTAAGGAATTAATTGTCAATAAAGTCAGGGTAGTGGTACCTCTGATGGATGAAGAGGTTTATATTTAGGGAGAGGTATACAGAAGCTTCTAAAGTGGTAATAATATTCTATTTCTTGACTTAAGTGATGAGCTTACAATGATAGTTGTTTTATAATTATTTGTCATTATAGTTTTATGTAATTTTCTGTATTTAGGTTATATATCACAATTTTGAATAAAAATAAGATGTTTCTATTTTTAATCTTCCTTGTGTTTTATTATTTTCTTTTTTTTTAATGTATGTTTTTGTTTTTTTTTTTAAAGAGAGAGTGAGAGAATTTTTTTTTTAACATTTATTTTTTAGTTTTTTGGTGGGCACAACATCTTTGTTTGTATGTGGTGCTGAGGATCGAACCTGGGTCGCACGCATGCCAGGAGAGCGCGCTACCGCTTGAGCCACATCCCCAGCCCGTGTTTTATTATTTTCATTGAATAGATGCAAAAGTTTTAGTCATTGATGTCTTATTTCTAACTTGAGTGGGTGTTTCTATGGAACTATATTTCTTCCAATTCATGTGTCAGGGAATAAGGTACTGGCAGCATCTATTTTTTTGTAAATTTTATTCTGTGCATCTTTTTCTTCCTTCATTGGACTTGATGATCTCCAGTGTTTCTTCCAGCTATACCCTGTATGAGCCTACTTTGTTTATCTGCCATTCCATCACCATGATAATATTAAGATGAATAGTATGCTGTTAAACATATAATTAAACTTGCATTTGCCTTACATTAAAAATAACTGTAGCTTATACCAAGTTGCTACTAACCCACTGGAAGATAAAGAACGTTGTTGAGAGCCACAGACAAGTCAAGATGGTGCCTGGCACTTTGCCAAGAGGAGTGGTTTGAGAAGTAACGCCAGTGAGCCATTAAGATGATAGAGATTCCTTAATGATTGACTGCTGTGTCTAGATTATGTCAATTAAGAACAAGCTGTGTATTCAGTTATGTATATATACCCCTACTGTCCTACAATAAAGCGGCTACCGCTGTATCAACCTTCACAAGTTGCTTGTCCCCCCCCCCCTCCCCCCGCCGGCTATTTTGCCCAGCCAGACTTCGGCAGAACGTGAGACTCTGAACAGAGAGTTTCAATATCAAGTAGGTGGTTGCATTAGATAACCTTCCAAAAAGTTTCTTTTAATAAGACACCTACCTGTTATTAAAAAGATTTTGGATACTGGAAGAAAAAAACTTACTGTTTTCCCCTTTTTGTGGTATTGGGAATTGAGTTCAGGGGCACTTTATCACTGAGCTACATCCCTGGCCCTTAATTTTTATTTTGAGATAGAGTCTTGCTAAATGCCCAGGCTGGCTCAAACTTGCAATCCTCTTTCCTCAGACTTCCTAGTAGCTGGAATTACAGATGCAGGCTACTATGCCTGGTCTTACTTTACTATTACAAAGATTTCAGATGCTGCAAGAAAAAAAAAAAAAAAAGGAAAAAATCTTACTCTTTCATTAATATTGACATCCAAGTTTATAAATATAATTTGGCAAATGGATTTTTGTCAGGAAACTCATTTCTGCTCATTCTCAAAGATATATCCTTGAAATATGCTATGTATTCTCATAGGCTTCCTTGGAGACTTAGAAAAATTAAAGAAGTGTATGCCGTAGTTGTGATAAAATCTTCAAAGGAATAGGTAGCTAAAAACAAAACAAAATTTTCTTTGATCACCCTTGGTGGCAACTGGGACACCAACCCCTTTCTCTGTTAATTGGTAATTTAAAGAAAATAATTATGCATTTATTCTTCCTTTCCTATATAAACTTTATTTCAGAGTAGCCCAATAGCCCTAGTTGATGAGGAGAATTCCATTCAGTAAATATGGAAGGAAGACAGAATTAGAAAGTCATCATTGTATAACTTTTCTTGATAGAGTTGGTTTAGGTAGAGATATTTAGTGGATAAAACCATTCAGAGGTTTGAACCTCTTTTGTGCCATGGGGGAAAATCTTTGGCCCCATGGGCAATCTGGGAAAAATAGGGTATTATAAACAACTAAAAAATTTACTAGGCTGTTTACTTTAAAAATATATACTTAATATGCCACATTCTGAAATGTTACTTGAAAAATAGCCTAGAGTACAA